AAAGCACGATCTGCTCTCCCTTTTTTTCTTATTCCTAGATTACAGTAGCTGGTTATTATCTTAATTACTGTGCACCACCAGTCCAGGAAATGAGGTTGGCAATCTTCAAGATCCACATTCCCACTCTGAGATCACTACTCATGAGGTGAAGTCATCACAACACTATACAGAGCTTATCAAAGTAATTTGTTTTAGCAGCCTTTAATGTTTTGCTACAGGCTTAATGTATGATCTCTTTTCCCTTTCCTACTCTAAGGTGTTTGTTATTGAATGTCTCCCAAAAGCTTGCCTACTGAACACTGAGATGGGGCCTTTGGGAAGTGATTGGTTCATGAGGGCTCTGACCTTATGAATGGATTAATCCAATGAACCAGTAACAAATGCTGACAGGGCTGTAGGGGAAAAGGAACTCTTCCCCACTGTTGGTGGGAGTGTAGACTGGTAAAACCACTGTGGAGATCAGTGTGGTGATTCCTCAAAAAATTAAAACTAGAGGTTCCATTCCCCAGCTATTCCACTTTTTGATATCTTCCCAAAAGAATTAAAAGCATCACACAGCCATGTTTATAGTGGCACAGTTTGTAATAGCTGCATCTTGGAAACAGCCCAAATACCCATCAACCAATGAATGGATAAAGAAGATGTGGTGTTTTTTTTATATATATACCAAAGAAGTACTACTCAGCCAAAAAGAAGGATAAACTTGAGGCTTTTCTAGGTAAATGGATGGACCTTGAGACCATACTCTTAAGTGAAATAAATCAGATACATGTGCAAATAACACATCATTTCTCTGGTGTGAGAAACTGAAAGTGTAAATAAGTACTAGAATGTATACTAGATATTATGAAATAAGAAAAAAATGCTCAATTGGGAAGGGGAACTAGGGAGGGGAGAAGGGGAAATGGGAAAAGAAGGAAAAATGGAAACAAAGATTTTGTAAATGAGAGGGAAAGGGACTGAAGGGAGGATAAGGGGATGGGGGAAAAAGGAACTGAGGTAAGTCATGTAGAGGTACGAAGTCCCATGATCATTACATATATTTAAAATGTACCAACAAACTTTTAACAGTAAAAAAATGAATGGATTCATCCACTTATAGATTCATAGCTTAATGGGTTTAGGGGAGGGACTGTGTTACAGACAAGGGTCTCTGATTCCTGGCCACCAAGATGTGAGCAGCCTCCCACCTCCATCATGCTTTCACCATGATTTGCTGCCTCACCACTGGGCTAAAACCAATGAGGCCAACTAGACATTGACTAAAACTCCTGAAACTGAGTCCACATAAATCTGTCCTTCACATTGATTTCTCCTGGGTGTTTTATTGCAGTGATACAAAGCTAACACAAGCCCTATAAGCAAACTGAGAAGCTCTTGAATGACCTCTAATTCAGCTTTTTTATTTCTTCAGTGACCATCAAACTCTCTACTCACTTCTTTATCTGAAGTTATCTGGAAAATTGGTCTCTTAAAACAACTACCAGCAGGCCCTGGTAGCACACACCTGTAATGCCAGCACTCAGGAGGCTGAGGCAGGAGGATCTTGAGTTCCAGGCTACCCTGGGCTATCTAGCAAGTTCAAGGTTCACCTGGACTACACAGGGAGACTCTGTCTCAAACAAACAAAAAATATGTGTGTGTGTGTGTGTGTGTGTGTGTGTGTGTGTGTGTATGAGCCACATTGCTACTATCCTATCAATCTGTAAAGTTTACCTTTTCTTCTTCCTCTTCCATTCCCCATTTATAACATTTTCCCACAAAAGTATGTACTTTTTGTGGTACTGGGGGTCAAACCTACAGGGTCACTGTGCCACTGGGCTAGGTAGCCAAAATCTTATTTTTAGTTTGATATGTGGTTCTTGTTACTTTTCTGAAGTGTGTCATGTATTTGAAATCCTCCCACCTTGACCTCCCATAGTGCTAGGATTACAGGCAAGTACCCATACACCCAGCTTAAATATGTACTTTTTAAAATGTATTTTTGAGACAGGGCCTCGCTATGCAGTTCAGGTTGGCCTTGAGATTACTTTGTAGCCCAGGCTGGTCTCGAACTCAGAATGATCCTCCTGCCTCAGCCTCCCAAGTGCTGCAAATAGGGCATAGACCACCATGCCCAGCAAATACGTACTCTTGACCATAACATGCAAGACATTACAGAAGTAAATAAAACAAGCAACTCATACTGAGAGAACAACAAAATAATCTTTTCTCCTGGGACGTACAAAAGATTTGAAGAAAATAAGGTATTTGGTCAGTAAACATATGAAATTTTTCGATATATCTTCAGTCATCAAGAAAATGCAACTTAAAGCTACAAGATACACTTCATAATCACTAGAACGACTAAAAAGAAACAACACCAAATGTAGGTTAAGATCTGAAGCAAGTGACACTTCCATCCTTGCTGTTGGAATATGCAATTTTGATGAAAACAATTTGCAGAATGATTTGGCCATTTCTGAAAAAGTTAGAAGTTAACCTATATGACCTAGCAACGTCACTCTTAAGTACATATGTAGGAAAATTAAAGGTACATATACAAAACTTGAAAAAGAATGTTTATAGTAGCCTTCTAAGTAGGAAAGCACTGAAAACGGCCCAGGTGTTTTCAATAGGAAGATAAATGGTATTATATATTGATAGTCTGTAGTACTCAGAATAAACAGGAAAAAAACACTGAAAGATGCACCAATAAAAGTCAGAAAAGCTGATGTCAGTGTTAAATAAAAAAGATAAAATCTGAAATAAGATGGTTTATTCTGAGCCAACATAAAGGACCAAAAGCAGGAACACAAACTCAGGTTAACAACATGAGCTCCCAAAGGACACAGTTCCCCAAAGGCACAGTTCTTCTACCAAGGGAGCACATGGACCTTTTATAATCTCCAAAGAAATGAGGTGGGTTATCAAGTGAGCGAACTAGAGGTGGAGAAACATATATGAGATTCAGATGCTGTCTCCAATAAGGCAGGGGAACTTCCTATAGGATTTAGGCATCCCCTCATTCCAAGCCTTCAGGTTATTAGAGGTTGGAGGTCCATCAAGCCTAACATACATTTAAAGGTTTTACCTAGCAGTCACCAAAATATGTTAAGTCAGACACAAAAGGCAATAATACATGGCTGCCAAAGAGGCTTGAAATAGCCCAATACACTTTAGGCGTCTTAATCAATTAATCTCTTCACAAGATCAGGACACTCAAATATGTAAATTCTGAACAGTCTTGCAAGGCACAAGTTCAAGTCCTGCCTCAGTAATATATAGCCCAGGCTGGCCTCATACTCACAGTGATCCTCCTGCCTCAGCCTCCCGAGTGCTGGGATTATACACATATGCCACCACGCCTGGCCCTTTCTTCTTTTAAAATACTATCTCACCAAATTGCCCAAGGAGAACTCAAACTCACAATCATCCCCCTCTGCCTGCAAGTAGCTGGGACTCCAGGCATGTACCACAGTGCCCAACCAGATCTGTGGTCTGTGTAACTTACTGTATGCTAACCATGCTTCACTTAGAATTCATGAACTTTCCAAGTTAATACTAATATGGGAAGCGGGCTCTAAACTTTCACAGTGAAGTATGTACAACTAGAAGGTTGCCATGTGCTAACAAATGTTAGGAATCAAGAATCATTCTGGAGGATAAATATAAACAAAGACCTAAAGATAAATGTGAATTAACCTGCCAAATGGAGGTGCCCTGGGTAAATCCATCTCAACTAAAGGAGCAAAACAAGCAACTCATATTGAGAGAATGTGGAAGACATTCGTGTTCTTTCCTTTCTAACTTTTTTCCTTCCTCCTTGTGTTTCTTACCTTATCCCACTTTTCACTCCCATTTTTCTTCCTTCTTCCTGAAACAACTTGTACACAAATAACAATTATTCTAGTGTAAACTGTTTTGTATACTATGCACTATTATAAGTAATTGTTCAGTAATCATCCAAGTATCTCTCTGCCTGCATTGCAGATAAAGGCCTCAGGCTGCTAACAGCAGTTCACGGCTCATACATATAGTAAGGTCCTCAAGGAAACAACAATGATATCACTCACATCTGATGTACATAGCACCAATTGTGTTCCAGTACTGCTTTACGTGCTTCATACATACCGTCTCACTTAACCACACAACAAACCTCTGAGGCAGACATTAATTTTACCCTCCTGGGACAGTTAGTGAAAAAGAGCCACAACTGATCAGAAATTTTCAGAGGCACAGTTAATGGGCTATTCTTCTACTCTTACGAAGGGGAACTGCTAAGTCTGGTTTGGTGACCCATACCTGTGATCCCAGGACTGAAAGTAGCTGTGACAAGAAAGTTACAAGTTATTATTCCACGTGGGTGACTTAGCAAGAACTTGCCCCAAAATTTAAAAATAAAAAAATGACTGGGAATGCAGCTCAGTGGTAGAACACCCTGGGCTCGATCCTCACTACTGGAAAAAAAAAAAAAAAAAAACAGCTAATAATGAAAATTACCTCTCATAGGACACTGTATTTGTGAACAGCAACATCCCTGGATCTTCACAGAGATATCAAGATCTCTGTCTCAACAGTATTCATTGCTCATTCAGCAATCAATGAGTATTTTCTATATTATAAAATGGCATATCCTTGATGTTGAAACACAAAGGTTATAACTAAGCAAAATCAACTTTGAATTTGATTTCCCACAGCATCACAATGGGAATGGTGTAGCACTGTGATAGGAAGAGGTGTGCTTTTGCATACTATGGACCAATTCAAAGAGGTGGAGGTAAGGGGGAGTTTTTATAAACAAAGGTGAGGAGCACTCTATCAAATATTTTGATGACCCTTGGCCATGATTAGTAACAAGGGTGATGTCAGTCCAAGTTTGAGCAGTTGCTGACTGGATTCCTTCTAAAAAAGTACACCTGTACAGGCTGAAGTGTCTTTGTGTAATGTTTCTTAGCAGTCCTTTGTGGCAGTTACTATCAAACAATCATGCATGAGACTCTTTCTTCATACCTATTGCCTTGTTTTTTGTTTGGGATGACACAAAATACTCCATTTTTATTTTGACAACTTACACATTACACATAGAGATTCATTTATAGAATGAAACAAAAACTTTACAAGGATCCTCTTCTTGAATCATTTTTGGATCAGTGGTTTACCAGAGAATCTGAACATTGAGATCTTCTCCCTAGAAGAGCAGACCCTTGTACAAATAAAACAATTTTGCATACAGTATTAAAATTTTTTTACTAATCCTCAGATATGCAACCAAATGCCCACTATTTGCCAGCCATTTTCCCAGATTACACTCCAACTGATGTAAAAGGAAAAATGCGTATCATCAGAAAGCAAGGAAGAACTCAGTAAACACAGAAGCAGATTTGAGATAAAGGACAGACATCAGGGTGGTCAACAAGAATATGCATAATCACAGCTAATGATAAAGAACTTGGCATATGCCAAGCTGTTTATGTTTACACATTTGACACTGACCACAAACATATGACGTAAGTGCTCCCATTACCTCTGAAGTTCAGAAGAGCTTATCTCCAGTTCAGGACAGGGAAGCCCAGCAGATGTACATGATCACTTGGCTACCAAGGAACAAAGCAGTATTTCAACTGCGTGGTCAGGCTCAGGTTTATGCTCTGAGCCACTGAATTTCCTTTATAAAGATGAAAGACTGCCACAAGAAAGAGGCACTGCCCTTGGCCAGTGCTGTGCTTAACTCATGAGCACATGTGCTGCAAATGCTGCACAGGTTCCTGGTCTCAAACAGACCCCCATCCAACCATGTGTCCCAAATGCCCAACATTCCCCTCATTCTCCACTAACAGAGAACTACTATTTTCAAATTCTCATGAACCTTTAGCCTCATCTCTCAAAAGTAGAACTTTAGGACCCAAACAACTTATAATAGGAAAGTTCACAGCAGGTGATCCTCAATCTTTTTTGAAAGAAAAAGAAATTGATATCCTTCTTGAGCATTTTTAAATATCTTAATTATTTCAGCAATACTGAATATGCTGGAAAACTCTTTCATAGTCCTATTATCAAAAGGATCAGTTTGATTCATTTATCTATACTTTCCATTTGATCTTCAATTCTTGCGCACATGCAAATATATTTTTAAAGTGAGTATTACTAGTAGTGTGGATGTGTGAATGCTTTTACATTATAGAGATTATTCTTGTAGTTATCCAAAATGTGGTTTATATAAGAAACAAAAAACATACTAAACTCTACTAAGTGTCTAGAAGACAAGCACAATCAAGTAAACAATGGCATATTACCTCACTGGAATATTACTATCACTTGCTAACTGTGTTTTATTCTTAACAACAAATTTGACTATACTGCCATATTTATTTACCTCTCGGAATACTAAAGCTGCATTATCTCTCAACAATTCACCTACTTAAAAGTTCCTTATCAGAACCTAGAATTTAAGGCTTGGTCAAGAATGCACCCAGGCCAATTACTTTCATGGGAATTTGTGGAAAGAAAATCTAATGTATTTATATACTGGAATGAAATGTGTGCCCCTCTGGGCCAATTCAATAGCGTGCAGTAGGGTGGTAACAAGACTGAAAGCATTTCTACACATATTCCATTTGCACAGCTTCTCTCCATGAGTTCTGCAATGTAAAATTATTGCTCTTATTAAAGCATGTTCTGTATTCCTTGCATTATTAAGTGGCCTCTGTCATGTGATTTGTCTGGTATCTAGTAAGGGAGGGGTTATTAACTAATGCTGTCCCACACTGATTACACATGAGGAACTGCTCCCCAGTATGTGCTATCTGATGGACAATAAATGGAGAATGCTGGCTAAAGATAATGCCACACTGGTTACACTTATAGGTCTCCTCTCCAATATGAATTCTCTGATGCTTAATGAGGTCATTCTTCCGAATGAAGGCTTTCCCACACTGACAACACCCATAGGGCTTCTCTCCAGTATGAATTCTTTGATGCACAATGAGGGCAGAACTCTGACTGAAAGATTTCCCACAATCATGACATTCATATGGTTTCTCTCCAGTGTGGGTTCTCTGATGTGAGAAAAGGTGAGAGCTTCGACTAAAACATTTTCCACAATCTTTACACTCAAAAGGCTTCAGTCCAGTGTGAATTCTGTGGTGGACAACAAGGTGAGATCTCTGGCTGTAAGACTTCCCACATTCATTACATTCATAGGGCCTCACCCTGACATGTGTTCTCTGATGCAGAATGAGATGTGTGCTCTGTCGGAATGACTTCCCACACTCAGGACACTCATAGGGTTTCTCTCCAGTGTGAGTCCTCTGATGCCGGATAAGCCGGGAGCTATGCACAAAGGCTTTCCCACACTGATGGCATGTGTACAATTTGTCTCCTGTATGAGTTCTCTGGTGGGTGACAAGATGTGAGAACCAGCTGAAGGACTTCCCACACTCTTTGCATTCATATGGCTCCTCACCAGTGTGAGTCTTTTGATGTCCAATGAGATGGGAACTCCGGCTGAAAGACTTTCCACATTCTTTACATTCATAGGGCTTTTCTCCAGTGTGAATAAGTTGGTGCCTGGTAAGATTAGAGCGCCAGCTGAACAATTTTCCACATTCTTTACATTCATAGGGTTTCTCTCTGTGTATACCCTTTGATGCATCAAGGGATGCACCAGAAGTAAGAGAGATGTCATTATCAGGACACTTGTAGGATTTATCTCCAATGTGAGTTCGTGTAAACTGAATAAGATGAATGTTTTGACAGAAGGTTTGGCCACATTCATTACTACTATCTGCACAGCTTTCCTGGTGCCCACTGAACAATAAATCATGCTTTAAATTTTTAGTATGTGAGCTATGTCTATGGAAATACTCTCTCAGTACTAGCTGAGCAGGGACAAGACAGCCTTCCTCATATTTACCACTTTCACAGGCCTTCTCTTGAATAAGTACTTTCTTCTGGGTGAATGCCACTTGCCTCATATGTCTTTCTTGGCTGTCATAATATTTGCCCAACTGGTTGTCACATTTCCAGACATCTTCTAGTGACAAATACCAAAGATCATTCCTTGACACTCCTTCCATTTTAATGCCAAAGGATTGTTTGTCTTTAGAAATGCTCTTTCTGGAAACTGATGATTTAATTTCAGCTGTGGTGTCTGAATCTAAAAGAAAAGAAAAAGCTTTGTATAACTAAACAAAGGATTAGGGTAAGAATGATAGAATGTATGTGGAGCCAAAGTACAAAAAACCCACATAGGGTTGCTTTCAAGTATGGTTTGATAATCTCAATGGATAAGGACAAAGGGAAAGACAGAGCAGTAAGCAGTAAGTGCATCAGGCTATACACATACAAGGAACAAAAACAGTAAGGAAGGGCCACAGCTCTGAACATGACCAAAGAAATCAAAAGAACCAATGAGGGGTAGCAATAAAGGAAATCTCATAGAAAGGGTACCCTCTCATTTCCAAATCCCAAACAGGAATGATGTAAGATCCTAACTTCTCTATTTGTTGTCAGGTCTTCCCCTCATACACATTCTTCACACTACTGCCAATTTAATATTCGTACAGCATGACTCTGGCCACATGCTAAGCAATGTCTTCTGTCTACACCACCAAAGCACTACAGAATGAGGCTCATACAGATGGCTGACACAAAGCCCTTTCAGAAAGCCACATGAGATGGAAGAGGAACAACATGAAACTGAGCGGACACAGGTTCTCACCTAAGGTCTTTCACTACTAGTCACAAATTTAAACAAGTTGCTAAACTCCCTAAAATTCATTTTGCTGTCTAGAATCCAAGAATGATACTATTTGTTGTTGGTTTTTTTTTTTTTTTTGGTTTTTCTCCGGTACCGGGAACCGAACTCACGACCTTGTGCTTGCCAGGCAGGCGCTTTTGCCGCTGAGCTAAATCCCCAGCCCCCTAGTCACAGCTATTTATAATAAATATAATTATTCCTATTTTCTATTTTGAGTCCTTGGTTCCAAGACATTGCTATTGTTTGGATGTCAAATGCCCCATGTGTTGACAGCATGGTCCCTGAGCTGGCAGTATTGGAAGAGCTTTAGGTCATCAAGGGACAGGAGGTCTGTCATCTCTTCCTCTTTGCTTCTTGACTGATGAGAGAGTTGTTTTGTTCTGCAACAGGTTCCTGCCACAATGTGCTGCCTCTTCAGAGGCCAAAAGCCCTGGGCTGACTTTGTTATAGCCTGAAAACTTCACAACTGTCAGTCAAAACAAATCTTTTCTAAGTTATTTATCTTGGATGTTTTGTTACACAGAAAAAGCTGACTCATACAGATATCAAGATTAACAACAATTACAATTTTTAAAAAGAGCAAGAAATAAGACTTCTGGAGTCTAACCCATATTCTTCTAGGCTTTTTGCCTCTCTGCTGCATATATTAATATAAATTATTTCCCTTGCTGAAGCACTATATTTGTTTCTTAATGTTTTTTATGTATAGTGTTTCATACCAAATGTAGAAAAAGCGTTACTTATACAATACCACTTCTTCTTATATAAATGGGGCTGCACTGTGTCCCCCAACAAAGATATAGTTAAGCCCTGACCCATAGTATTTCATAATGTAGCCTTTGAAAGTAAGGTCATTGCAGATGTCATGGGAGGTGGCCTTAATCCAACAGGACTAGTGTCCTTATAACAAAAGACATAGAAACAGACACATAGGGGGTGCCAACGAAGAAGGGGGCTGAGACTGGGATGATATAGCCACAAGCCAAAGCTTGTGTGATTACCAGATACTCCCCTAGAGGCTTAGTAAAAGGCCCCTTGGTTTTGAACTTTTAGCCTCCAGAAATATGAGACAATACATTTCTATTGTCCTAAGCCATCTAATTTCTGTCCTAGTTGAGTATGCCTTATCCAAAATCACTGACACTGGAAATTTTTTGATTTTGGACATTTTTCATGTGTTGAAATATGTGCATAAACTGGGATGGAGGAAAGGAGAAAAGAAGGAAGGAATATGAATATATATATATATATATATATATATATAGACACACACACAAGACAGCTAACATAATTGTACTACTACTTTCTATTAATTCATTGAAAGGAACAATTACTGCTTATATTGCTTGATCAAGCTTACATGCCTATATCTGGTAATCTGAGCAACTACTCTGAAGATAACATGCAATATAATAACCACTGTTAATTTGCTGTCTTGTTTTAAAATTGTGTACCGTTTTTACTGTTTTTTTTATTCTCTTAAAAAAAAAGAAATATGTGCATATAATAATGAGATTATCTTAGGGATGGGACCAAAATCTAAACACAAAATGCACTAATGTTTCATGTATACTTTATATATATAGCCTGAATAGAACTTTATACAGTATTTTTAGTAATTTTGTGCATGACAAAGATTGCATATATAGAACCATGAGAAAGCAAAGGTGTCACACTCAGCCACCTATGCAGGCAGCTGCTCCACGCAGCTCTCACTGTCATTCTTGATTTTGAATTTTTATGCTTCTGATAAGCAATCATTTTCTTATTCTAACTCACACATAAGTACTTAGCAGTAAGACATGACATATATTAGTACACTGAAAAACAGAAAAAAAAAAAAAAAAAGAGTCAAGAAACAGCACATACCATTTTGCCAAACTCCCTCTGTAAAACCTTCCGCACTCATGTAGCTGGACTACTGCTGCTGGCACACTGTTCAAGAAAGTCTTTTTACAAATACTCTTCAGTGATGGTAGGACACCCTGCTCATATAACTGAATTAATTAATCAGATGTGAGGAAAGTACATGTAATAAACACTATTGCTGATGAATTTCAGTTGGAGGATGAACCGAACACCTTCAGCCAACATCTGGTCTAGCTGCTCTACAGTGAGACAAGCCACTGGTACAAAATGTTTGTGAAACCAATCAGCAAAGATGTTCCTGATGATGTATGACTTTTAACATAGCAATAAGCTGGCAAGAAATCTATCCCTTTAAAACAGGGCAGGCTCAAACTCTTGCCTGTCAGCAGGTTTACACTTTCATAAGCATATTCCAGCAATTACTCTGCCTTTGGAACCATAATTCTTGCACAGGCCTCTCATCAGCTGTAGCCAGTGTCTTTCTGGGACAACAATGCCAAAATAGTGATGTTTCTTTCACCAGTACCACAGAATGTGGCATCAGATTTTCATGGACCTTTGTAAGCTCTTCAATACATTTCTTCACCATCAGTTTTCTACGATCAACAAACCATTTAGTGGCACATGTTCACTGATGCTGATTCATACTTTTGATACGCTACAGGACTCTTCGTCTATAGCTTTATGCATTTTTACCTTTTCTACTTTTCATCAACTTCTGTTCACTACTTTCAGTGCAGAGCGTCAACAGTTTATCCTGTTTCTATAGGTCATTTCAACACCAGACTTTTGTGTAAGATATTTCATACTTAATTACCATTCAGTTTCTTAAGCAGTTTGACTTTCTGTGTTAAAAACAAATGCTTCCTCTTTTTCTTAGGGTTATCTGAAGGCTTTTTTTTTTTTTTTTTTTTGACATTTTCAGTATCTTTACACAACAGGACAGAAAATAAGCAAACTACAAAGGAACTTACATAGATCTTGGCCCCATGTGGAGAATGTGGGGAACCCAGCTATACTAAGAACTCTCTTCTGCACCCTAACCAAAGTAACTCCAACTTGTGGTATACATCTAGCTGTTCAGGGCCCCTGGGCCTCCACCAGGTACTGAAACAGTATGCCAGACTGCAATGCAACACAAGGTTATTCACCAGTGGCACTGGACAGAGCTTACTAAGACTGGCAGGGTTTCCTGCTAAGGGTGGGACAGGAGCGGCATACGAACAACTTTCCCCAAGGACCCTTCCTGCTTTTGCTTCTGCTTTTGCTGTTCTAATCAGTGCTCTATAATGGTACCCAGTCAGCACAGAGGCGTTGGCAGTCTCAGTAGTGCTTCAACCTGAAAGTATACCACTGCTCTGTAAGTCACCCCAATGAACTCAATTGTTTGCCAAGTTGGACCTTGTCTGAAACATTTTTTGGACTGTCACCACTTTCTCCATTGCCATCAGTGTACACACAGTGGACACCCTTATGTGTGTTTGTGAAAGGCAATATGGGCATGCATAGAAAAGACATTACCACAGCTGACAGGGGCTGGAAGGATCTTGTTTTTCACCTGGAGACTGAAAAAATGTGTGCTGTGCACCTTCATTTAGACTTTGATCTGTCACATGAAGTCAGGTGTGGACTCTTCCACTTGTGGCATAACAGTGCTCAGTTTCAGATTTTGTAGCACTGCAGATTTCAGATTTTCAGTAGAGATGCTTCATACATTTTTTTTTGGCTTTTTTGAGACAGGGTCTCGCTGTGTCATTTAGGCCAGCCTTAAGCTTACTTTGCAGCTGAGGCTGGTCTCAAACTCCCAACAAGCCTCCTGCTTCAGCCTCCCAAGTGCTGGGATTACAGGTATGTACCACCATGCCCAGTGATTTGATTGTTATTCATTCATTCATTCATTCATTCATTCATTCATTCATTCATTCCTTTTTTGGGACCTGGAATTGAATTCAGGACCAGGCAGATGCTGTGCCCCTGAGCTATATCGCCAGCCTAATACTTTTCTTGTACCAGCTCCAGAAAACCAGTATACCTGATGAATAAGCTCTGTGCTAGGCCAGGTCCCTGACTGACTTCTTTGTACAACTGTACCCAGCAGCCCTAGTTTTCATTCCTAACTTCCATAGTTCCTTTTCTCTACACTATCCTAATGATTTTCCCCCTTTTCTCTTCTGTTCAGAGGAACAGAGAACCCATAAAGAAGTTTTCAAACTACAAATCCCAAGTAAAAGATTTAAAATAAACATGAGCAGGAGAAGCTGGAGGCATGAGTGGGTGCTTTCCTTCACTAGAATCCAAAAATTTCCATTTACCATAAAACACAGACAGACACATATGCTGCTGTCAAATTGCAGCACCCATCGATCAACGCACTGTCTTCAGCCTATTCATTTAGATAATGAAATTCACAGGGACTTGTAGATTTCTTTAAATTCCATGCATTTAAACACTTGGGGTTTCATTATGTCTTTGACCACAAAGCCTCAGTAAAAATATAAACTACTGAATCTAGTTAATGATTGTTACTTTTATAGACTTGTCATTTGACATCTAGGAAAGTCTGCTGAATGAATGGAACAAAAATGGAAGGAAGGCAGGCAAGAAGGAAGGCAGGAAGGAAGGAAGGAAGGGAAGGAAGGAGGGAGAGAGGGAGGGAGGGAGGGAGGCAGCAGAATAAAACAATTTTTCCTCCCAGGACCCAAAGTAGTTGACAGATCATGTTCTCATTAGTACAATACTAAACCGGGCATGGTGGCGCAAACCTGTAATCCCAGCACTTGGGAGGCTGAAGCAGGAAGATCACTGGGAGTTTGAGACCAGCCTGTGCTACAAAGTGAGTTCATTATGCCAGACCTGCACAATAAAACCCTGTCTCAAAAAGATTTTTTTAAAAAAATGATTAGTATAATACTGAAGGACCTGTCCTTGATACAAAATTTTAATACAATCACCTACCTGAAAATCTAATGTAAAAATATCAAAAATGTTTTATATTTCAAAGTAGAGACAACCAAAATAAAAGCTCGGAAAAGAAGCCTATATCTGAGGTCATATAAGGCTTCACAAAGAAAGAACCTGAATGTAATCTCATGGGAAAAGTAAGGCTGGGATGATCTGAGATGCAGGGGAATGCCTGACACTGTGCCCATTAGATTCTGGAGAAACAAAAAGAAATGACAGCAGATCATTCCCAGATGACCAGACAACACTGGGCTTGGAAGCTACACATACCATGTGAACATACATGGAGTCACTGGCACAAGTCCTGGCTGTTCCACATGGCAAGCAGTGGGTTATCTGCAGTATGGTGCAGACAGGAACTTTTAAGATGCCGAGAAGGATGCCAAGTCCATGAGTTGTAGAGCAAAGGAGAAGAGTGCTTACAGAAAATAAAGGAACAGAAACTGAGAGATGACTTTTTTTAACCAAGAAGGTTGGGTGTTTCACATGCAGAGATATATACATGGAGGTTGGGAAAACTTTTTAGGGATGATAATATTAAAAAGAAATATGAATAAGTGAAAAATATTAAATGAAGAGCTACCGTGGGAAATGCTGGTATTTTTAGAGTTACAATGCTAGAACATAAGGAGAGTTCAGCCAATATGAACCTGCAGGCTCTCTGTAGTTTTACAAAGAACAGGGCAAGTGGCATAAGTCCCACTGCTAGACTTACAGGGATGAGCTGAGCTATGGGAAAAGGCCACATGAGAAAGAAAAGAGAAGCAAAGACACCAGAAATGACTCTCATAAATACTCTTCAGAAATTAGAGAGTGGGGTTACTAGAATTCATGGTAATAATCAGGGAAGAAATAGTGTCGAAATAAAGAATATCAATACAAAGACAATTTTAATAGAGAGGTAAAGTATATTTGTCTCTACATGCAAATGTGTGTGTGTTACAGGAATGCAGAAAGGAGACTGGCAACTCAGAAACAGGAGGTAGATAACCTCATCCCTCTGTCAGGAATAAGGACCTGTGAGAAGAGCTGTAACCCTGTCACCAGAGGGTTACATCTCGTGGGCCATCTGGGCTACCCATTGGGGCAGCTCCTATCTGCTCTCACCTGGATGTGTCCCATGGTAAATCCCTTTCTCCACCAGCCAGGGCTCCTCCCCTTTCTCCAGCCGCAGGATCACATCTGGCTTAGGAAGCTGATGCCCTGTTCACAATGAAAGACCATGGTTAAAAGCAGGAGGGAATTCAGGAAAGTTCCAACCCATCCCAACCTTCTGCAGCATGGGGACTACTCTGAAAGTGGATGAGAATGCAGAGTAAAAAAAAGAAACATACACTTTTAAAAATTCAAAAAATTAAAACAATTTTTTCATAAAAGCAGGAGCACCAAAACCCTGCTCTATGCCCAAAGAAACGAGGTCACTGAACCCCACGCCTATACTCTGATCCATGCTTCAAGATCTATACCTTCTGAGCCATGAAGAGCCAAAGTTCCACAGTAAGCACAGCTGCAAAAACAAAGGTTAGTCTTACCCAAGGAAACCAGGTTCTTATAGTTCTCCAACATCACATCTTTGTACATGATCTGCTGAGCAGCATCCAGTAGCTTCCACTCCTCCCTGGTGAAATCCACAAGCACATCCTTGAAGGTCACCAGTGTCTGCAACACCAAACATATGTGCAGTGTGCCAGATACACACCTCTGCCCTCCCTTTCCCGGATCCCAACAGGAAAGACTGGGCTGGTGGCCCTGGAATGGGACAGAGCATAAACCAGAACTTACTGGAGGAGTAAAGGAGTATCCTCCTTGATGGTCAAATCTTAAAGAAGAACTGTTAGGTACCCACTGTCCAAAATTGAGGTTTGTGTTGTGCTTTAGATCTAGAAACTATCAGAAGCATTTTTATTCAAATTAAGCTTAAAAAGCTATAGGAGGGAGAATCAGATACCAAAATTTAGTCTATGTTTACAGTGTATTAAATTTGGAACCTAATTCAAGGCAGGAAAATCGGAGGGAGGTTGATAAGTACTAGTTAAAACTTACAATACTGAAGCAGGTATTATGACTTAAGATAATTTGCTAAAAACACTTTCCTTCAAAAAAGGGAAAGTTAGGGGCTGGGGATTTAGCTCAGCGGCAAAAGCGCTTGCCTGGCAAGCGCAAGGTCGTGAGTTCGGTTCCTGGTACCGGAGAAAAACCGAAAAACCAAAAAAAAAAAAGGGAAAGTTAGTAATTATACTTTAGTAAAGCACAACAATTTGACAAAGAAATAAGATACAGATGTGAGGCCTTTTATTAGCTATATCAAAAACAAGTTGATCATACATAGAAGAAAACCTATTTGAGTGATGTGTATTTCTCCTCAAAGACCATGAAGGTCTTGGTATATTTATTTTATCACGGGAAAATGTATAGTTGTTTTTAAATGCTGAAAGAAAAGAACTCTCAAGCCAGGACATCTATATCTGGTGAGTGTATCTTTCAAAGCTTATGCAAAGTAAAACTGACACTTTGTTGTAAGGAGATCTGGTCTGAAAGACAAGCTATAGGAAGTGAAAGGACCCCAAAAAGAAACTGAAATCTTAGGAATGAAGGAAGAATGGCAAAAGAGCAGAAATTTGAGGAAGTACATTGACTTAGTGTTCTCTTAAATTCTTCAAAATTATACAGGATGCAGCAGCAAGAAGCTCTGGAGTACTATTGCACAGTATAGTAACTACAAACAATGATATGTACCATACATCCAAAAAGCTAGAAGAAAAGAGTTTGAAAGTTCACCATAAAGAAATGATGCTTCAATAGATAAATATGTTGAATCTCATTTACATGAATCAAACATTACATGGTACACAAATTAATAGGTACAACTTTTATGTTTTATGTATCAATTTAAGTTAGTTAAAGAGAGATTAAACTTATAGGACAGCTAAAAGCAAACACTGCCACATTTTCTGGTGGGGCTTTTCAATATATGTATGTACAGGTAATATGCGTATATATACAACTTTAAGACATAGGGAAGAAAAGAGCTCCAGATTTTACCTAAAGTGGTAAAAATTAACTCTAGATTATAAAAGATTAAATATATATATTCTAACCCCTGAAGCAACCATTTAAAATGCAAAAATGTGTAACTACAAAGCCAAGATATAACTTAAAATGGAATACTAAAAATTAACACAAAGCTAGTAAGTTGAGAATGGGAGCTGAGGGTAGGGCACATACAGAAAACATACAATAAAATGACATTCAAATCCAATCATATAAATAATATAAATGGTCTAAATACACCTAAAATACAGAGATTGCCAAACTGGATTTAAGAGAAGCAAACCACAAACCTCTAGTATCTGCTACCTAAAAGAAAACCATGTTGTATATAACAAACTAGGGAGGTTAAAAGTAAAATAACAGAACCAGATATACAACGGAAACACTAATTATACATCACAAGGCTGGAGTGGCTCTATTAGTATCAGAAAATCCAGGCTGCAGTCAGTCAAATGAACATTACCACAGGTGAAGAGGAATAGGATAAAGTGAGCCACGGGTCAATCTGCCGAAAGTAATTAATAATAAAAATTACTCTAAATAGATCAAGATGTAAACATTACTCTATAAAACTTCTATAAGAAAGCCTAGGAGAAAATCCTTGCATCTTGGCTTATTCAGAAGGTTTTTAGCTGAATCTCAAAAGCATGATCCATAAAAGAATAAACTGAGGCTTTGGCATGGGGCTCATGCCTGTAACCCCAACATCTGGAGAATGAGGCAAGAGGACCAAAGGCTTGAGGTAGTAAGACCTTGCCTCAAAATAAAACCAAAAACAAAAGAATAAGCTGATAAAAGTTGACTTCATCAAAATTAAAACTTGTTTCCTCCTCAAAAGATACTGCTAAGAGAATTAAGATATAAGACAGAAGACTGGGAGATAATATTTGCAAATCATGTATCTAACCAAGTATGTGTGTGTATGTGTATGTGTGTGTGTGTGTGTGTGTGTGTGTGTGTGTGTGTATAAGAAACTCTCAAAAGTTGATGGCAAGATAATACACTAGTTAAAAACTCGGCAAAAGATTACAAAAAACATTTTATCAAAAAAGACACATAGTTGGTTAAAAAAGTGTATGTTCCATGTCATTATTCATCAATAAAATGGATGTTAAACCATTGTGAGATGCCAGGCATGGTGATGGACATCTATAATTCCAGCATTTAGGAGGCTGAGGCAGGAGTATCATATCAAGTATGAGGCCAGCCTGGGCTATATAGTGAGTTCATGGTCAGTCTGAACAGCATACTGAGACCCTGTTTCAAAACAAAACAAAGCCACTGTGAAATATGATTTGACAACTATTAGAAAGTGTAGCCAGGCGTGGTGGCACACGCCTGTAATCCCAGTACTCAGAAGGCTGAGGCAGGAGGATTGTTGCAAGTTCAAGATCAGCCTGAGCTACAAAGTGAGTTCAAGGCCAGCATGAACTGCAGAGTGAGACCCTGTCTCAAAAAAAAGAAAGTGTAAACTTTTAAACCAAACATTTGTGAGGATGCAGAGTAAGTGCTACTCATGCCCACTACTGTGGGAATGCAAAATGCTACAGTGACTCTGGAAAATACTGCATGTTTTCCACAAAGTATACCTTTACTATATGACTCATGCTGGTCAGTTTTCTGCTACTATAGCAAAATACCTGAGATAATAATCTAAAAGGAAGAAAGGTTTATTTGGCTGACAGTTTTAGAGGCTTCAGTCCCTGGTCAGTTGGCCCTGTTGCTTTTGGGCCTGTGCAGCACAGTGTGTGATAGCACAGAACATCAAGGAGTGTGTGGAGGGGACACTATTCACCTCATGGCTGGGTCTCAAAAGTAAAGAGAGATCAAGGTCCTACAATCCCCTCAAGGGCACAGCCTCAATGACCAAAGACCTTCCATCAGCCTTCCCCTCTCCAAGCCTCCACCACCTCCCAAAAGTTCAAAGCTGGAAATCAAGCCTTCAACACATGAGCCTTGGGTGACACTGCAGAGGACCTGTCATTCCTTTGCAAAAACACCTGAGAGTCTGAAAATTTATATTCATCCTAAAACTGACAGGCAAGTGTATAAAATGGCTGAGGCCTTAACTGTAGCTGCCCAAACTAAAAGGAAACCAATGATCCTTCAACACAGAATAAAAAACAAGTGTGCTACATCACGCAATAGCAATTTACTCAGCCATAAAAAATACAGGCTACTGACCAGCACAAAATAGATGAATCTCAAAGACATTATGTCATGGGAAGAGCTGTAGGTTTCACACCATACAACTCTGCTCAGAGTTCCTGGAACAGGAAGAATCCAGGGATAGAGAGTAACCACTAATTGCAAGGGGTTGCAGAGGAGGGGGAAGCACTGATAACAAAGGCGAAGCAGATGAGGGCTGGGGTGATGGATCTCTTCTCTACCTTTAATGAAATGGTAGTTATACAACTATTTGAATTTGTCAAAATGACAGGATTTAGTCAGGTGTGGTGGTGCCTGTCTGTAATCCTAGCACTCTGGGAAGTTGAGGTAGGAGGACTTCAAGTTCTAGTCCTGCCTTGGGAACTTACCAAGGTCCTCTCAAAAAAATATTTAAAGGGCTAGGGGTATAGCTCAGTGTGAAGGCCCTGAGTTTAATCCCCAAGACTGTGCAAGAAAAGGAGAGGATTTTACTGTATATAAGTTTAAAAATCAATGCAAAGCTCTTTAAGGAGTGCCCTGTGAAGTTTAATGTGCTGGACATCTTTCTCCCTTTGGGTCCCTCTCTACCTGCCATTCCCAGGCACAGAAAAAGGTTCTGGAAACCAGACTCTGTATTCATTGAGGCTATGATTGTGAAGGGGACACACACCACCTTCATGCTGGCAACTTTCTTCCTGCTTCCAGTTGGCAATCTCCATTGGTGAAATAAATCAGAGAGGCAAAAGGCAGACAGGCTCTTATGGCAAAGGCTGTATCAGCTGAAAAATAGTTTGTGAGAGGAGAAATCAATGTTTTCACCCATTTAGACCCAGAGGTAATGATGCCCCTTCCCCAACTCACTCTCACAAGGTGCCTGCTACTCTCCATGAGTCCTTGACTTGTTTGTTGGTGCTAACTGTTCCTAAGACACTTGCCCATGTTTCGTGTGACTCATCTCCTGATCTCTGCCTCTTGCTATCGGCATTCCCCTACAGAGATGCTGTGCTTCTCTGGAAGCACAGGTGAGAAGACACCACGGAAAGAAAAGCTGTGTGAAAAGGGAGTTGAGAACTACATTTGAAACCAGGCAGGTCTGAGCTGGGAGTTGGATATCTTTAACTTGGGGTTGGATAATGCTTGTTTGGTTTAACTTCATAAAGTTAGTTTCCTTAGCTGTGAAGTACAATGTTTGTAGAGAATTTACTCCCAAATAGTACAGTATCATGTTAAAGACAAGATGGGTAAAAAGAACAATCTATTGCAAACAGCATGAAGAGACACAAAGATGGGTATAGTGAGGTCAGGGAGATAGTTCAGTGGCACAGTGCCTGCCTGGCAAGTGCAAGCTCCTGAGTTCAATTCCTAGTACAAAAAAAAAAAGATGGGTACAGTGTAAGGAAACTCTGAATCATAATTTCAATAGTATTTTAGCAATCTCTTGTGTGTACCTCCTCTTCCTAGAAATTTTGATCTGCAAAAATTGCTCATTTTTTTTTTTTTTTTCTTTTTGGTTTTTTTTTCCAGTACCGGGAATAGAACTCATGACCTTGAGCTTGCCAGGCAGGCACTGTGCCGCTGAGTTAAATCCCCAGCCCCATGCTCATTTACTTTAGATACTAGTCTCCAGTACATTTTAGATATATTATTACCTCCTTTTACTCTGATATATCAAAGTACTTTTCCAATTTTGTGCTATTTGAGAATTTCTATAATAAAAGAGAAGGAAAGACCAAAGCCTAGTGATTTGTCATGAACTCACTTTTCAGCCAGTGCAGCCTGACTTCTCAGCAGCACCCAGTTTATACTCTTGCCTCCCAGGAGCTCTGCTTGCTTGCTTCGCAAGCTCCTAGTCTCCATGGACATCCTCAGTTATGGCTTTGCTTCACTTCTGCTGCCTGTCACCCTGTGCACCCTGTAGGGCACTTTATTGACACAGCACTGAGCTGCAGTCAGTCAAACCTGCTCAGGTTTCCCACACTGCCCCCACCTCCCGTTCCTTCTGCTGGAGCTGCCTTAATTCTTCAAACACACTACGCTCTCTCCGAAATCTAGGCCCTCACAAATCCAATTCTCTCATGTTTATTCGGACAACCACAAGTTATCCTTAATATCCCTGCACAAATGTCATTTTAACAAGTTTTCTCCTGAACATTAAAATTATTTAAATTTCCTGGTGTTCAATGTACACACCTAACAGCTGCCGGAAGCATCCTGGTGTGGGTCTGAGCCCTGTAGACAGCAAGAACATTAGGTCACCTGTCCACACTGCATACAAGACCCTCCTGAGGAAGAGGCTGGACAGGCACAAGGGCAGTGTCTACAACCTTGACACTCCAGGTCACCCTGCCATTAAACGTCCTGTCCTCAGAGCTCTCTACTTTGGTTGCAGTCACCCTTGGACAACTTTCTAAATTGTCCCCAAGCTCCTCCAAACCAGAACTCCCTATGGAGGAATTCACACAGCCAGTATCACACCCAAGACAGCCAGGATCAGGGTAGCCTGTGAGATGCACCAGCACTTCCAATTCTCACATCCCTTTCTCTGGGTTAACTACCTCAGTGTGGATGCATCATTCATCAGGATCTTGAGATCCCATCCCAACTGATAAAGGAAGTGAAACTGCTATTACAAATGAAGAAACACAATAGCCCTACTCTCCTGGCAGAATGTCTGATGCACAATTTCTGAAGTTTCTCTGCCCAGGAAAAAGGGATTCCTAGCTGGGTAACAAGAACGGCCCAATATACCTGGGACCTGGCCATCAGCACCACAGCTTCCATGCCCACTTCGTCCTCACGACACTTTCTCCAGTGACAGGACAGTCCTGGGAAGCAAAGTTGCAGAAGAGAAACACAAGTTATATAAATTATACTTTCATCCCTTAAATCTCTCATGTCCCTGCTAACTTTCATTTGGAATTGAATGGAATTTGGAACCATAAGCTATTACAAATCCTCTCTTAAAGTAAAAATAAAAAACAAAACTTGACCTAACATCCTCACTGCGTATGTAAGAAACATGTTCTCTCCAACTGGTCAAAAGAAGCCAGAACCTTGAAGTGCATAAGGAATAGGATGGCCCATTGCCGGCTTGAGGATGGAAGGTGCAGGTGACAAGGATATGGACAGTCCCAGGAGCCTAGCAGCTTGGGTGGGCAGCACATGAGGGACAGAAAGGGAATCCCTCCAAGGGTAAGCCTAAGTGAATTCTCCCAAGGCTCCAGGTCAGAACCCAGTCCCATGGGTGCCTTGACCTCTGCCCCTAGGCCCCAGACCCACAGAGGCTTCAGACCTACACAGCTGGGAGCTAATGATGCTCTCCGAAGTTGCTACATTGTGAAAATTTGTTAAAAGTGAACTAGAAAACTATATAGTCCACTTTTTTCTTTAAAAGACTTAGGACATGTTATGTATATATACCAACTTCCCACGATAAATCTAATCACGACGTACCATGTGTACTAATAAAAATTTTAAATTGTTTAAAGACAACTTAAATATTAAGGAGATACACACATACTTCTTCTTACACCTATACAGTTAACACTGATCATTCCTTGAATATGTTTCCTTTCTTCCTGAAGAACACTCTTTAATATTCTTCATAATGGGGGGGTCTGTCGTCTGTCAGTTGCAATTCTTTCAGTTTTTGTGTGACAATATCCTTAATGTGTTCTTTGGTTTTTTTAAATGGCTTTCTTGAGATAAATTTATATTTTAATTAGCCCATTTAAGTTTATAATTTGACAGTTTTTGGTATATTCTAGAATTTTAAAAACTATGGTAAAATATAAACAACACGTAATTCGTCATTTTAACCATTGTTAAGCATACATTTCAGGGGCATTACATCCACAATATTGTGTAACTATCAGCATTAATTTCAAATCTTTTTTAGTCTCTGCAAACAGAAACACTGTAACCATTAGGAAAAAATTCCCCACCCGCTCTCCTAGCCTCGTAACCTTCAATATACTTTCCACATCTAGAAATTTATCCTGCTAGATGTTCCATGTAAGGGGAATCCTGTAACTTGTGTTCTTTAGTCTGGCTTTAGTTTGTCTAGCATGACTCTTCCAAAGTTCATCCATGTTGTGGTGTACATTAGAACTTTAAGCCTCAATCATACTCCATTGTGGAAATATTCCACATTTTGTTTATCCACTGTTTATCAATTTTACTTATCCATCTGCTGATGGATACTTTGGTTGCTTCCAACTTTTAGTTATTGTGAATATTTCCAGGAACATAGGTATACAAGTAACTAACTGCATTTTCAAATCCTTCAGGTATATATACAAGGTTACATGGTTTTATGAACCCAGGGCTTTTTGCTCTGAGCTATAGTCACAATCTTTTTTAAATTACTTTGATTTAGTCTTTTTTGATTTAACCTTTTTTTAATTTAGTGAGACATGGTCTCACTAAATTGCCCAATCTGAGGTCAATCTTGTGATACTCCTGCTTCAGCCTCAAAGGGATTACAAGTGTGTACCACCATGCTCAACTTGTTCAGCTTTCTGAGAGATCACCAGACTATTTTCCGTAACAGCTATGTGACTTTTACATTCATGCCAGAAATATGTAAGCTTCCAACTTCTCCATATCTTTGTTAATACCACTTTCCATTTTTAAAATTATAGCCATCAAAAAAAAAACCAAAAAACCCTCCTGCATTGCTGGTAGGAATGCAAACTAGTACAACCATTATGGAAATCAGTATGGAGATTCCTTAAAGAACTGAAATTAAAAGTTCCATGCGACCCAGCTATCACTTTGCTAGGTAACTTCTCCAAAGAGCTTAAGGCATCATACACCATCAGTATTTGGATACCAATCTTTACAGCAGCAATTGCTAATTACAATTCATAATAGCTAAATCCTGGAAGCAGCCTGTATAGCTAACAACAGATGACTGGGTAAACAAAATGTGGTATTCATATATCTTAGCTACTTTTCTCTCATTGCTGAGACAAAATACCCAACACCCAAAGTTAAAGGGGAAAAAGTTCCTTTAGATCACAATTTGTACAAATTTCAGTCCTCAAGGCAGGGTGGCTTGGCAGAGAAGAATCATTCATGGCAGGCACACAGTAGCAAAACAAGCCAGAGGAGAAACAAGCCTCTTTCTGTCCCTTACACTGTATCCAGGCTATGGAGATTAGGACAGTGCCTAACCAATCAGTGGGCTGAGTAGTAATCACCCACTCTTAACCCTAGCATTGCACCATGAATCAATCACATACTCTAGAATCAGCCACTTATGAAAAAGCCCCACCTATGGCTGCATGACACTTTGGGGAGGTATCTAAACTCAATCTGTAACATTCTGCCCCTGGACCCCCAAAATTCATGTATATCCCTTTATGTAACAGGCATTTAGTCCACCTCGAAGAGCTGCCAAAGTCCTAACAGTTTCAGCACTGCTGAAAAGTCCAAGTCCAAAGTCTCCTCTGAGATGTAAGGCAAACTTACCTGCAAGCCCCTGTATAAATGAAAAGAAAGTTAAATACTTCCAACATTCAAAGGCACAAGATAGACATTTTCATTCTAAAAGGTACAAACAGGGGGAATACAAAGGAATGGGACCAAAGCAAGTCCAAAATCCCACACAGCAAATATTAAGTGCTGTAGTTCCATATCCACCATCCAAGGCAATCTGCGGCAAGATGTGAACTCCAAAGCGGACTCCACCCCCATGGCCCTGCCAGTGGTTGCGGTTCCCATAGCTTCTCTTTTGGGCCAGCTCTGTTCCCTCCTTGCAGGTTTCCTCACACAATCCACACTCCTGCCTTCTCCAAATTTCTGGGGTTTCCACTGCACTTCTGGCTTCACACTCATAGCGTCACACACTGCCCTCTCAAGGGCACACTGCCTGGTCTCCCAGGCCTTCCTCTGAAATCTCGGTGGAAGCCTTCCACCCAGACTTCACAACTCTTGCATTGCATTCTGCATGCACCTAGAACCAGCACCACATGGATGATGCCAAGGTCTGCGTCAGCTAGAGCAGTAGCCAGGCTTCATTCTCTCTTGGCTGTAAGGGTCGAGTACCTAGACTGCTGAGCACTCTGAACCTAATCCCGAGGAACAAATTATCTAGGCCGCTGCTATTCTGAAACATGGTGCTCTGGGGCCCTCTTCTCAAAGCCAGTTCTTTCACCTTTGCAACTCCAAGGCTGCAGAGGCTGGAGTCCTGCTGGTTCTTGTGAACCAGATGGCTGGTTCAGGCCATCTTTTCTGTTGTCTTCTGAAATACTTGGCTTTTTCTTGCTGGTCTTTTCAGCAACCAATTTCTCTTCTATTCCGTCTTTGCAGTCTGCAACCTTACTGGAGTTTCATTTCTGGCCAAACTCAAAATGTCTTCCAGCATTCTGCTAGGCTCTTTCCTCTTGATTCTCAGCATAAATCTGGCTAAAAGTTCCCAACAGTAGCCATGCCATTGCCTCAACATTAGACTGCCCTGAAATTTCTTCTGCAAGCTTAGTCTGCTGCCCTTAGCCTCAAGCAAAGTCTCTGGATATGGGCAAAACACAGACAAATTTTCTGTCAAGTCATAAAACACATTTTTGGACTCCAACAGCCAATGCAATCCTTCTTCCCAGCAGAAATTTCCCAAGCCTGGTCTTTACTGGCACCATTTCTATCAGCATTCTGGTCTTCTGAGTTCTGACCAGAACCTCCCATCATGTACTGCCTAAGGCATTCTAGCTCTACTTTTTCAATGTCATCTCCAAACCTTTCCTAACTCTTCCTCTTCCCACAAGTCAGCTCCCAAGGCTCCTAAACCACATGATCAGGTACAGTCACAGAAATGACTCCATTTCTCTGGTACCAAAGTCTGTCTGAGTTACTTTTCTTTTCCTGCTAAGACAGAATACCCAACACCCAAAATTAAAGGAGGAAAGATGTATTTAGATCACAGTTTAGGCAAGTTTTAGTCCATAGTGATTTGGCTCCAAGGCAGGGTGGCTTGGCAGAGGAGAACCATTCACAGCAGGCAGACCGTAGCAAAGCAAGCAAGGGATGGGAGAAGACAAGCCTCCTTCTGTCCCTTATATTGTATCCTGGCTATGAGGTTTAGAGCAGTGCCTAACCAATCAGTGAACTGATTTAGTAAATACCCACCCTTAATCCTAGTGAAGCAGAAATCCTGACTTAACTGCAGCCATTTTATTCAATACAGCTGCAGTCATTCTGTTCTCTGCCACTGAATTCAGCTAAATCATTTGTCATCAAATTGAAACTTCTGTGAACATGCTAAAAACAACTTTCCTACATATAACAATACTAGCCACGAGATACCCATTGTACCATACCCTTTAGCTAAAAGCTTATCTTGGGGCTGGGGATTTAGCTCAGCGGCAAAAGCGCCTGCCTGGCAAGCGCAAGGTCGTGAGTTCGGTTCCTGGTACCGGAGAAAAACCAAAAAAAAAATAAAATAAAATAAAAGCTTATCTCATTCTTTTATTTTCTTATCTCGTTCTTGTAACTTCTGTTTGCCACCCTATAAATAAAATAAACTCTCTGTACCTAGGGCCTCAGATTTTGGAGATTACTCCTCTGGGGTCTGCTAGCATCACTAAAACTTCATTTCTTCTCCTGAGCTCCCAGCCACTGTTGGCTCAATTTTTCCCACAACAGTAGCATCTTTAATCCTACCATTGCACCATGAATCAGTCACACACTCACACCATCCATCAGCCACCTCTGAAAAATCCCCAATTATGACTGCATGAGGCTTTTGTGGGGTACATCTAGACACAACCCATAACACTATGTATAATGAAATTCTACTTGGCTATAAAGAATGACAAATTTGAGGCAT